TGATAATTCTACTGCGAATAGGCTCACCGTCCACCATAGAGCATGAAGCCAAATGCTGCAGTGAATGCCACGCCTGGAGGGAGACGGAGAGATATAAGGCAATGAATGGGAGGTAATACTGAAATTTCAGCCAGCAAGGTCTCCAATATGGAGAGAATGCAGAAACAGGGTTCATAACATATGAACCGACTAAAATGTCTTATCTCCCACAGAAATCATGCTTGCTACCTGCTCTTCATGCTACCTGCTCTTCATGCTACCTGCTCTTCATGCTACCAGCTCTTCCTGCTACCTGCTCTGGCTGCTACCTGCTCTTCATGCTACCTGCTCTTCATGCTACCTGCTCTTCATGCTACCTGCTCTTCATGCTACCTGCTCTTCCTGCTACCTGCTCTTCATACTACCTGATCTGGCTGCTACCTGCTCGAAAGAGCTTGGTGAGGAGAACGAGTGGGTCTGCATGCTGTGGCACATATTCCATGTAGATCCATGCACCACCCTGTTGTGTGGGATTGGGCACGCACGCACACATGAAAGGAAAACATCAGACTGCAAGCATTCAGTATTGATGCATCTACTAGGTCCATGTAGATCCATGCACCACCCTGGCATGTGGGACGATGGGAACGCACAAAAGCACGAGCGCATCAATATTGAGACGTCCCCACCCAGCTTGGTGAGGAAAATGAGCGCGAAGCACTAGTAAACCCAATGACATGCATGAACACAACGATCCCTGTACTGGTACTGTCCACACCTGTAGGATGTAGATTGCAGCGTACAAAATGCCAACCGTTTATTTTATTAGGTGCCTAGAAAAAGCCCTGCACTACTGCTGCACACACCTGTAGGATGTAGATTGCAGCATTCAAAATGCCAAACGTTCGGCGGAGATCTTCGGATTGTATGCCCCGGGCCTTGCGGGATCAAGGCGAAACCAGCGGCAGGGGAAAGAAAAGAAAAACGAAAACAAAAGAAAACAAACAAATGAGGGCAAAAAACGTCGCGTGGAAGGTCAAACACGCCTTTTCAAAAGGCTTCAAAAGAGGCACTCATTGAGGATGGTAGCATTCTAAGGTATGTGCGTTACCATTCTAAGGTACCTGGTGGTAAATCTCCACCCAGAAGTTGATAAACATTGTATACGTGCTAAATAACGACTCCGTGAATCCAGGTTTGCTGCTCTTCGCAACCAAGGCGACTTATGAGTCAGTCCAAAACAGATCTACACACCTGGTGGTAAATCTCTGCCCAGAAGAGGATGAGCAGTGTGTACGTGGTGAAGAAGAAGAGACTTGGAACGTCCAAGATAGCCACTTTGAACACCTGAAATAGACAAATTAGGCGAAATGGTAAAGGAAAACCCACTAAATGGCATGAAAGGACATGAGAGCTGCTAGAGGCGGCAGAAAAGTGAAGTCCCTTGATCAAATTATTACAATCATGTTTTCAGATGCCCTGAAGCAGAAGCTGAAGGCGGGATAACGGCAGATGTTTTTAGCTTTTCATCGGAGCTCACATAGTCATCGATGCCCTGCACTTGCTCCCAGAAGAGGAAAACTGCACACCTGGCTGCAGACACATGCAAGGTAGAAGTGCAAGCATTCACGAACAGCGGAAGGGCAGAGGAACGGGAGGGGAAGGGGGGTTGTTTTGACGAAATCTTTGCTTTTGCATGTCTCATTAGACTCGCTTTAGCATGCCTCATGAATCGCAAAATAATCGTTACTTGCAGCAGTGTGCCGATATAACTAGGTACCGACCTGCGCAGAGAACGAAGTTGAGGAGATGAAACACCTTCTGTGTCGTCCAGCCGTACTCGGGCACTCTCAGTTGAATCCGCGCCAGTTGCACCTGCAGCGTTGACACACATAAAAAGGGAGAGGACGACTGTGAAGGCCTTTAGAAACAACCGTACTCGGGCACTCTCAGTTGAATCCGCGCCAGTTGCACCTGCAGCGTTGACACACACAAAAAGGGAGAGGACGACTGTGAAGGCCTTCAGAAACAACCGTACCCGGGCACTCTCAGTTGAATCCGCGCCAGTTGCACCTGCAGCGTTGACACACACAAAAAGGGAGAGGACGACTGTGAAGGCCTTCAGAAACAACCGTACCCGGGCACTCTCAGTTGAATCCGCGCCAGTTGCACCTGCAGCGTTGACACACACAAAAAGGGAGAGGACGACTGTGAAGGCCTTCAGAAACAACCGTACTCGGGCACTCTCGGTTGAATCCGCGCCAGTTGCACCTGCAGCGTCGACACACATAAAAAGGGAGAGGACGACTGTGAAGGCCTTCAGAAACAACCGTACTCCAGCACTCTCAGTTGAATCCGCGCCAGTTGCACCTGCAGCGTTGACATATGCGTAAGCATTGCAACGGAGGAGTTTTCCTGGAGCTTCAAAAACAGCCGTACTCGGGCACTCTCAGTCCAATCCTTGCCGGTTGCGCCTGCAGCGTTGACACATGAAGCATTGCAATGGAGTTTTCAAGGCCCTTCAAATACAGCCTTACTCGGGCACTCTCAATTATCCGCGCCTGTTGTGTCAGTTGAAACTGGGCTAGGCAGTAAGATTCTCAGCATCGTTGCATGAATGTATCGTGGAACAGGAATTATCGAAAGCGTTCATGACAACAAAGTCCGCACGCACCAAGGCTACGATTCCCACAAACGCGTACGATGCGGCCAGGCCTTCATACGCGTCCTTCTCAAGCTCTCCGACACTCTCAAGGTTTGTAGCGCTGGCATCGCTGTCTGTTCCATTTCTGGCGAACATATAAGGGTTGATTCCTTGCCTGCTCCAAGCATCTACCAACCATGCTCTATCCATCCAAGTATCCATCATGGATTCTTCTGTCTTTAGAGTAACGAAGGAACCTTGCTGGAAGTGAGCCGGGACAAAACGCGATGCAAATATGATGAGGAGGAAGGGATGTTCTCGGCAAAGAGAGAAGCTGTGTTGTTATATTTCTTACTAAGAAGAACAGCTACACCAAGGCGAACAGGAAACACTTATTTTTAACCTGCGGCTGAACTGCTAAACGAGATCTACGGCGATACGCGGTCAGTTTAGCGAGCTGCGGAAGTGAAACGACGTCTTTGAAAGGAGCAACTGCTTACGATAACTAGGGGTAGTGGTAGCTGCTCAGAGTATACAAAACGTGCTAGAGTGGTAATTCGAACCAATCTGACAGCGAGTGAATTCGGAACGACGGCAGAATAGAAGCACGTTGAATGCTGAGTACAAGTCACGCCAGGGGAAACGGGAGGGGAACTAGGAGGAAATTGGTGGTGGGGAGGAAGAAGGGAGAAGCCGTATCTTCCCTCTCAACCGCCGCACTGAAACATGATAGACCGAAGCGAAAAAAACGAGAACAAATGCACCCGAGGAAAGGTTCTGCCGTGGATAACGGCTAGTTTTGACTGCCCCCGACGGAAGTTGGCCAGCAACCTTGTACTGTACAGTTGTAGCGAAATTTGGAGAGGCGAACGGCGACACATTCGGTTTTGAAGCGACGAAGCTGATTAGCGGGACTTATTGGCGACAGTTACGATGACTTGCGATGAGAAATTGAGAATGCATGGTGATGCACAATTGTCCGCCGCAGGACGCGGATGGTTGGTGTCAGGTCCTTAGAGCGTGTTTCGTACCCCTTATTTTGGGGCCTGGTCGAGGTTGCCTCGAACGGTCGGGTTGGGTTGAACGTAGAGTTACCAGATTACCCTAGTGTGTACACTGTACAGTAAAGGACGTGCGTACCAGGGCGGGTCACACTCGGTCGAGGCGACCAGGTAGTCAAGCAACCAGCTGGTCCCGCCCACACCCAACCAGAGGCAACCAACACGCAAACGTATCAACCTGCTGCGCAACCAGTGGTAAACGAAAACATTGCGGGCAGGTTGCATTATCTAAAGTCGACGTGATTAGTGCAAGAAAATTTTCACCTAAGGTAGGCCAGTGAAAATGACGCCTGACTGTTGGGTCTGCCCCAGAAACTATTCGCGTGGTTGGATCCCGAAAACAAGCGGGTAGTACAATTGCAGGTTGCCTTGTGGGTACCCAGCCGCCCACCGGTCGACCCGACCAGTCAGGTTGGGTCGACTTTTGCATGCAACCGGGCCCTACCACCAAGTTAAGGGCTACGTAACACGCTCTTAGCGCACTGCCTCGTCACTGCAGACACATGCCAGAAGTGAGAGGGTTTATTCCGCCGTAGACATTGGCGCAGAGACTTAACTTTGATAAGAAGAATCTCGCTTTGGAAATAAGCGATGCACGTCATCCTTTATCCCACATGTTGAAATTTCAGCTGAAGTCCCAGGCACTCATGGATTGCACCAAGACTTGCCCCAATCCTTAGTAAGCAACTCATGTTAGTGGGCTGCATGCTTACATCACCAAAACATACTCACGCACACAGACATTCACAACCCTTATGCACATGTACAACCACAAACACGCCTGTGCATGCACGATGCATACATGCCTAAGTTCCCACCACAACCATGCCAAAGTTAAGGTTCACAACCTGGTGTATCCCCCACCCTTGCCCCAGTATAGGGGTGGGCTATCGGATGGTCACAAGGCATCATCTGACATGTTGCCAGTGGGGCCGAGAGCCGTGCGTAGGCTAAGCACGAGAGGGCACTAAGAGGACAAAAAGATGAGAGGGGCCAAAATGGAATAATCCAAGGCTAGCTGCCTTTGTGGACGCTGCTGGTGCTGCTGGTGCTGCTGGTGCTTTCAGGGGTGGCAGGGCCTAGCGCAACACCGTACTGATTTATTTCGAGCCAGCTTCGAAGTCATAAGGGCCGAGCTGGTTACTGGTGGTGGAGGTGGCGGTGGCTATGGCGCTGGCTATGGCGCTGGCTATGGTGGTGGCAGTGTCAGTGGTGATGGCTGTTCCGGTGTTGATGCTCGGCCATAAGGAGCCGCATATACTCTCCAGCAATGGTCCATCTATGAGCCGCCTCAAGAGTCAGCCTAACAAGCACCGTCAGAATGCGTCGGGGCCGAGTTGGGTGCTGGTGCTGCTGCTGGTGGCAGCAGTGGCAGCAGGGGTTTTGCGCACTCTGCGGCACAGGTCTCGGACCACCTTGGACATGCACGGGCGGAACTCAGGCTCAGGCTGCACGTGGTGATCACGTGTTGGGCACATGGTGGGGAGGAAACACAGAGGCACACAGAGGAAGCAGAGAACAGAGGAAGCACAGAGGCACACAGGAGAAGCAGGAAGGAGGAATCAGAGCCAAGCAGGATGAAGCAGAGGCAAAAAAAGGTGCAAGTTGGTGGATGATAAGAGACAGTTTAACACAGGTAGTTTCTGAATCAACTCAAAAGGGCTTCACAGCAGGAAGAGATGGCACGGAGAGAGACAACACGGAGTTGGGGCAGGGAGAGGGAGTGGGCATGCACGCAATCATGCAGACAACATACTTATCCATGTATGCACACATACCCATGCACCCATCCACCTGTGCTCGCATGCACCCTTCCACCTGTGCTCGCATGCACCCATCCACCTGTGCTCGCATGCACCCATCCACCTGTGCTCGCATGCACCCTTCCACCTGTGCTCGCATGCACCCTTCCACCTGTGCTCGCATGCACCCATCCACCTGTGCTCGCATGCACCCATCCACCTGTGCTCGCATGCACCCTTCCACCTGTGCTCGCATGCACCCATCCACCTGTGCTCGCATGCACCCATCCACCTGTGCTCGCATGCACCCTTCCACCTGTGCTCGCATGCACCCTTCCACCTGTGCTCGCATGCACCCATCCACCTGTGCTCGCATGCACCCTTCCACCTGTGCTCGCATGCACCCATCCACCTGTGCTCGCATGCACCCTTCCACCTGTGCTCGCATGCACCCATCCACCTGTGCTCGCATGCACCCTTCCACCTGTGCTCGCATGCACCCTTCCGCACCCGCACCTGGATGCGTCGTGCCATCACTTGAGCGTAGTGCGTCAGATACACAAGAGTGATGGCCCTGCCTCTCCAATCTGGGGAGATACACAGGCCCAGCCAGGGCTGGGCTAACCATGCGCTCTAGCTCCCATGCACACATACACCCACCCCGGAGGCACACCGCACTTAAGCACTCAAACATGAGCTCACAGACGCACCTGGATGCATCTTGCAATCACTTCCGCGTAGCGAGTGAGAGTGAGAGGATCAGGCACAGGCCCAGCCAGGGTTGGGTCCACCATGCGCTCTAGCTCCACCACATCGTGCAGCAGAGGGGCCGCCCAGCGCACCAGTGAAGACTCCCACTTGGGCTTGGATCTGTAAGTAGTGCGGGGGGAAAGGATGATGGTAAGGGAAGTGTGGAGAGATGGGGACATTGGCCCAGCAAGGGTTGGGTCCGCCATGCACTCTAGCTCCACCACGTCATGCAGCAGAGGGGCCGCCCAGCGCACTAGTGATGATTCCCACTTGGGTTTGGCGCTGGGGGAGGGAAGAGTCGGGGGGAAGGATGGGGGAGGGTGAGGAGGTGAAAGTATGGGCCCATCCAGCCAGGGTTGGGTTGGGTCCACCATGCGCTCTAGCTCCACCACATCGTGGAACAGAGGGGCCGCCCAGCGCACCAACGAGGACTCCCACTTGGGCTTGGATCTAAGGAGGGGCGGGGAGAATTCAGGGGACAGGGAAGCGTTGGGGAAGGGTAGGAAGGCTACAAGAGGGGGAGTTTGTGGGTGGGTGGGATAAGGGGCAGAGGATGGGGGGGGCTGGATGGCAGGAAGTTTAATGCAGCGAATCTCTAAGCTCGATGGAGTCTATGGGAAGAGAAGAAGCAAAGGATCACAGCTTAGGGAATGAAGGGCACTAACATAAGGAAAGGCAACTTACGGGTCGACGGGCTTTCTGCCTGTTAGCAGTTCCAGCAGCACCACTCCGAAGCTGTACACGTCGCTCTTGGCTGTGTACACCCCTGACATGGCATACTCTGGTGCATTGTACGCGTACCCTCCCACCAACTGCTCTGACAGTGTCTGCATTTGGAGGGGTTGAAAGGGGTTGGGAGCAGTGGGAGGGGAGGGGGAAAAGCAAGGGAGACATGTGAAGCTGTACACGTCACTCTTGGCTGTGTACACTCCTGACATGGCATACTCGGGTGCGTTGTATGCATAACCCCCCACCAGCTGCTCTGACAATGTCTGCATTAGGAGGGGTCCCAAGGAGTAGGGAAGGGTTGGAAGAGGGGAGGGGGGAACAAAAGCATCAGGACCTGTACACGTCACTCTTGGCTGTGTACACTCCTGACATCGCGTACTCTGGTGCGTTGTATGCGTAGCCCCCCACCAGCTGCTCTGACAATGTCTGTATTTGGAGGGATTGGGAGGGGGTTGAGATGGGTTGGGAGGGGTTGGGAGGGCGATGGGAAAGGGAGGGCGATGGAGCACAGAGCAGCACACATTACTGAGCCTCAACACCAGAGAGGTGGAGCACAGCCAGCCCGGCATCAGGAATGCACAGGCTCATGTGGTCGTGCAGCAGGATGATGGTTGCACCCATACCCTAGCCCCAGCATGGATGCCGCACCTCACAGCACCGGGCAGCACCGAACAGCACTGAGCCTACCTTAGCTTCTTTGGCAGTGGGATGGAGCACAGCCAGCCCAGCCCAGCTCACGTGGTCGTCCAGTAGGATGATGGCAGCACGCATACCATGGCCTCAACGCACTGAGCAGCACACATACAGTAGCCTCGGCGACCATACCCGAGCCTCGGCGACCATACCCGAGCCTCGGCGACCATACCCGAGCCTCGGTGACCATACCTGAGCCTCGGTGACCATACCTGAGCCTCAGCGTCAGTGGGGTTGAGCACAGCCAGCCCAGCATCGGCAATGCGCGGGCTCATGTGGTCGTCCAGCAGGATGGCTCGTGATGAGATGCCCCGATGCACTATGGCCGGCACACACTCCTCGTGCAGATACCTGTGAGGCGGGACGGGGGGAAGGGGGAAGTGGAAGGGGAAGGGGGAAGTGGAAGGGGAAAGGGGAAGGGGAGGGAAGGAAAAGAGGTGGTTCATGCTGGCGTCCAGCAGGATGGCTCGTGATGAGATGCCCCGATGCACTATGGCTGGCACACACTCCTCGTGCAGATACCTGTGAGGCGGGACGGGGGGAAGGGGGAAGTGGAAGGGGAAGGGGGAAGTGGAAGGGGAAAGGGGAAGGGGAGGGAAGGAAAAGAGGTGGTTCATGCTGGCGTCCAGCAGGATGGCTCGTGATGAGATGCCCCGATGCACTATGGCTGGCACACAGTCCTCATGCTCATGCAGGTACCTGTTGGTGGGGGGATTGTGAAAGGTGGGTGTCCCATGTCATGAGCATGCTCCTGCTGCCATCGTGCAGATGCTCGTACAGACTGCCCATGTGGAAATGAACAAACACCAGCATCCTCTAGCCCCACCGTTAAATTCCACCCCTTATCCCCCTCCATTCCACTCACTCCAAGGCTTGAGCACAACTGACAGCGATGCCCACACGTGTGTCCCAAGTCATGAGCATGCTCCGGCTGCCATCATGCAGATGCTCGTACAGGCTTCCCAGGTGAAAATGCTCAAACACCAGCATCCTCTCGCCCCCGTCCACGCAGTACCCCACTCACTCCCCCATCCTCGCTCCCCAGTTCCCAACCCCACACCATCACCAGCACTCACTCTAGTGCTTGAGCGCAGCCGACAGCAATGCCAACGCGCGTGTCCCACGTCATGAGCATGCTCCGGCTGCCATCATGCAGATGCTCGTACAGACATTCCCTCCCCTCCCCCCTATTCTACTCCTGGCCCTACCCCGCCTCCCCACTCACTCTAAGGCTTGAGCGCAGCCGACAGCAATCTGCACGCGCGTGTCCCACGTCATGAGCATGCTCCGGCTGCCATCGTGCAGGTGCTCGTACAGACTGCCCAGGTGAAAATGCTCAAACACCAGCATCCTCTCGCCGCCATCCACGCAGTACCCCTGCAGCGGCACCACGTGGGCGTGCTGCAGCCGTGCCATGTTGGCCGCTACTGCTTCAAAGTCCGAATCGGATTGTCCTTCTACTATTGCTGCTTCTATCCGCCTCACTGCCACTTCCTGGTTGGGGGAGCGACGTATGGGGAGGCACAGGGAGGGGAGGCAGGAGGAGGGGAGGCAGGAGGAAGGGAGGCAGGAGGAAGGGAGGCAGGAGGAGGGGAGGAAGGAGGCAGGAGGGCAGGGAGAAGGAAACAAAGAGGGTATGTTTGCTTCCAGTGCCTTAAATACCACGTGAGCGGCACCACGTGGGCGTGCTACAGCCGCGCCATGTTGGCCGCTACTGCTTCAAAGTCCGAATCGGATTGCCCCTCCACTATTGCTGCTTCTATCCTCCTCACCGCCACTTCCTGTTTGGGGGGTTTGTGACGAGAAGGGGGTGGGGAAGGGAGTGAAAGAGAGGAGGAAAGAGGGGGAGAAAGGAGGGGGAGTGGGTGTGGGGGGGAGGAAAGAGGAAGAGGAACAGGCAGGGGTTGAAGCCCCTGCAGCGGCACCACGTGGGCGTGCTGCAGCCGTGCCATGTTGGCTGCTACTGCTTCAAAGTCCGAATCGGATTGGCCTTCCACCACCGCTGCTTCTATCCGCCTCACCGCTGCTTCTATCTGCCTCACCGCTGCTTCTATCCGCCTCACCGCTGCTTCTATCTGCCTCACCGCTACCCCCTGGTAGGTTGATGGTGAGGGAGGAGGGAGGAGGGAGGAACGGGGAGGAGGCAGGCAGGAGGCAGGAGAGGAAGAGAAGGAAAGAAAGAGCATTTGTTAACATGCCGCCGTCCCGCCTGCTGGTTTTTGGCATGGGCTCAAAAACCAGCAACCTCTCGCCGCCGTCCACGCAGTACCCCTGCAGCGGCACCACGTGGGCGTGAGAATTCTCAAAAACATATATTACAGGTAGAGTCACTCTTGAGAATCCTGAAATGAAACGAGAGGAAGGTATGTCCGTTGCCACATGTGCTGCTTGTGTGTGCTGCATCGTACACCCCACGCACCGCACTGAAAGCTCTTGGATGGGTCCGTACGTCCCTGGACCTACGTAAACGTAATGTTACGCGTAACATTACGTTTACGTTTACGTACGCGTAAATACGCGTAACTTAGGTCCGGGCAGGAAAAAAATTCCGGCAAAAAAAAAAAAGCGTTCTGTAAATTGGCCCTGGAGAAGAGAGCATCATTGCGGCACAACCGCTCAGGGCAGCACATACAGCTGCGTACGAAATGCCATATTTAGGATTGACGGTTCTTTCATAACCGTTATGCTATATTTAGTGACTATCTACCTCGCTATTTTAATTCGCAGCACCATCTTTTAGATCTTCACTTAGGTCGTACTTAAGAACTCTAGGATCTAGGTTAGACGATCTAGAACGGATATCTACGTAGAAGATGTGAGAGGATTAGGTCGTGGATCTACAGCTCTAGCATCGAGCGTAACCTTCAGAGCCCTGCGTAAGTCACGGGGCTGGTGGGGACACTGGGGGGAGGGGGGGGGGGACATTGACTCGCGATTCTGAAATTGGAGGGAAAGCCCGAAGCGATTTTGTGCACCTGGAAAAGAACCGCGTCACAAAGTGACACGCCGATACAAACAATGGTCGGCAACAAAATTTATGGCTGGAGATTGTAATTTCGTAGCTTGAACCACAACATTATCATAGATAATGTTAATGCCAACTTCGAATCCCAGGGAAATTTGTATGACCCGGGCAGCTGAAAATAAACTAATCTGCCCGGAAACGGGAACTCATTCTGGACCCTTGTACGTAACGTAAAACGTACGTAAACGTAAACGTAAAACGTACGTAAACGTAAGCGTAATATCCAACTTAGCTTGGCACCCCTAGTCACCCCGCTCACCGTGCCATCAGGCAGGTCGCCACAGTACACGGGTCCCAGAGGGTGGTCCCTCAGCTTGGTGTGCGGGGAGAAGTCGTCCGTTGGCATCTGCAGCTCGCAGGCATGTTACCAACCCACCTAAAACCCCCCCCAACCACACTGCGCCGCACTCAAACACACCACAAACCCCTCCACTCACCGTGCCATCAGGCAGGTCGCCACAGTACACGGGTCCCAGAGGGTGGTCCCTCAGCTTGGTGTGCGGGGAGAAGTCGTCCGTTGCCATCTGCAGTTCCGCCAGGGCGAATCTCCGCACCCCTGGCACTGCCACCCCCCGCCTCCCCGCTCCTGGTGACTGCTGCTGCTGTTGTGGTTGCCGGGGTTGCAGCTTGGGTGCTGGGAGGGTAGGATTGAAGCGGGGAGGTTGGGAAACGCGGGAGGGGGGGAAAGGGAACGGGGAGTAGAGGGGGAAATTCAGGGTTTGTGGTAGATGGGAGACGGTTTATGGAGATGGGAGACAGTGTATTGCGGTGTATTGCGATGGAGGTCTTGTCTCCCCTTGCATAGTCCACTCCACTTTTCTTACAGGAAGGCGGAAGAAACGGCTTCTTACAGGAAAATTTCATGCTCAGACGAGGAAGCTTCCATCCACTCTCTCCAGAAGGTTCCTTGTTGCTGCTTGCTCGTTTCCCCGCCCCCCCTCCTCCCCATCCTATCGCCCCTACTCCCCACCCACTCCCACCCTTACCCCCACTCCCACTCCCACCCCTTCCGCCCTCCACTCTCCTCTCCTCCTCCTCCTCCGCCCCTTCCTCATCCTCCTCTTCCTCTTCCTCCTCCTCTTCCTCCCCATTCCCGCTCCGTCTCTTCACTCCTCCTGTTCTTCCCTCTCCTACAGCCGCCACCGCGTAAGAACCGCTATCAGCAGCAGCAGTAGCAGCAGCGGCAGGAGCAGCAGCAGCGTCATCATCCCCTCTCCCTCCCAAGCTAAGGAACGACATGACAGTCCACTCCCTACTCTTCCTCACACTCTCATCCTCCTCCCCGCCTACCTCCACCTCTCCATCATACCCCTTCCCTCCTGCCCCTCCTGCCCCTCCTGCTCCTCCTTTCCCTCCTCCCCCTCGTGCTCTTCCTACTCCTGCATTTGCAACAGTCAATCCCCCAGCTCCCACCACTGCCACCATAGCTCCCTCACGAACAATCAACTCCTCTCCGCCCCTACCTCCCTGAGTCGTCTCCCCATCCCTGCACGACCCAACCACACCACTCTCCACATCCTCCTCTTCATCCTCAACTGAAGTCACCTCCACCACGCTGATATCCCCAATCTCCACTCCAGACGACAGGAACGAGGACGGTAAACCCCATCCACCTTCCCCCTCTCCCCAACCACCCCCAGCAGCCCAGGAACCTCGGTAATCTGGCGCTGCTGCTGCTCTATCAGCGTGAAACGAGGAAACCGAATAGGCAGCAGCCGGGGGAGAGGATCGCCCAAAGTTGAACCAGCCCCGCTTGGGTTTCTTCCTACTAGCACCAGCAGCAGCATCAGCAGCCGCAGCAGCAGCAGCGGCGGCGGCAGCAGCGGCGGCGGGGGTGACAGCAGCGGTGGTGCTGGTGCCAATGCTGGTGATGCTGGTTCTGGTGGTTGTATGGTGTTTAAAGTCGGGATTGTCATCGTCAGTGTTGCTGACGCTCATGTATCGTTTTCTGAAGCAGAAGAGGAGGGTGAGGAGGAGGGCGATCAGGAGGAGGAGAGCAACACCTGCCGCTATGCTCACCACTGTAGCAGTGGACATGCCTAGTACGCTCGTACTCCCACTGCTGCTGCTCCCTTCACTGCCACTGCTGCTACCGCTGCTGCTGCTACCACTGGAGCTTAAATCTGCATTGTTACTAGTGCTGGTGCCATTGCTACTGCTGCTGGGTGGTGGAGTGTTGGTTCTGTTGCTCGTACTGCCCGGATTGCTGCTGTTCGTAATTCCAGGAGCAGGGTGTGCAGTGCCGGTGGTGCTGTTGCCGGTGCTGGTGGTGCTGTTGGTGCTGCCGGTGCTGCTGCCGCTGCTGTTGCTGGCTGTGATGGGGACTGTGAGATGGCAGAGGGTGGGGGGGGGAGAAGGAGAGATACGCACAGGGGAGTGCAGGGACAGAGGCACTATTTGGGGGAGTCGAAGCAAAGATGGATGGAGAAATCAGTGGAGTAGCAAGTGCCCTTAGGGTTCACCTATTCACCAGCCACGAGTTTTGAGACGTCTCAAAACGCACAAGGAAGTGCAGAGCCAGAGGCGCTAGTAGGAGTCGTCGAAGCAAAGATGGATGGAGAAATCAGTGAAGTAGCAAGTGCCCTTAACCTTCACCTTCACAGCGCTCATCCCAAACAGCTCACTATAGAGGCGCTTCAAATCCCAGCTCCATCAGTCATGAACCACCAGCCATGAAGCGTCCACCATCAATCCCCACCCACCTCCGTTCCTATCCACCACCACCATGGGCAGCCGCACTGCCTTCACAGCACCGATCCATAACAGCTCACTGTTGAGGCACCTCAAATACCCGCCATTCCAATCCATACGTCAACCATCATCAACATGACCCACCCACCTCCATCCCTATATTAGCATCAACCACTCCCAACTCACCTCCGTTCCTATCCAGCACCACCATGGGAAGCCGCACAGCCAGCCACTTCACAGCGCCCATCCCCAAGACCCTCCATCCTCACCCATTAATATCCCAGCATCGCCACATCCCATCTATTCCTATCCAGCACCACCGTGGGAAGCCGCACTGCCAGCAACTTCACAGCGCCCATGCCAAACAGCTCATTATCGAGGCAACTGAAAACGCAGCTACATTACCATCTAGCATCACCACTCATCCACCATCAATCCCCACACACCTCCATTCCTATCCAGCACCACCGTGGGAAGCCGCACTGCCAGCACCTTCACAGCGCCCATGCCAAACAGCTCCAGGCGCTGCTTCCGCCTCCCCAGCAGCACGTCCAGTGCATGCCCCGCCACTCCCACTGGCAGTGCTTCCGTGCGGCCGGGCGGCAGTACTGCGCAGGAGGCAATGACACTCCCGGGCCGGGTGGCGTATACAGCCACTTGTGTCTGGTTTACATTCAGACTCAGCGCCAGCTGCTCTTCAAGGCTCTGTGGGGGGTGATGGGGAGGGGAAAAAAACGGGAGTAGGGGCATCATATTTTGAGAAGCTCTGGCCAAAACACGTGCCTCTTTCTCCCCAACAGCACATCCACCGCATGGGCTGCCACTCCCACCGACTTTTGAGGCGCCTCAAAAGTACTCTCTTCCTCCCCAGCAGCACATCTACCGCATGAGCTGCCACTCCCACCGGCAGCACAGCCGTGCGGCCGGGCGGCAGCACTGCGCAGGAGGCTATCACACTGCCAGGGCGTGTCGCGTATACAGCTACTTGGGTCTGGTTCACGTTCAGACTCAGCGCGAGCTGCTCCTCTAGGCTCTGAGGATTTGAAGGGGAGCAGGGGGGGGGTTGTGATGGGGTGGGGAATGGGAGTATCGAGAGTTGAGATGTCTCAGAACACGATACTGGTAGGTACCCTGTATGGTGAAGTCACAGCTACCCTCTTCTCACCTCTCTGGTGACGTCATTGAACCTAGAGAACTCCATGCCCAAATGAACCTCCAGCAGCAGCGGGTACGAGCACACACACAGCTTCTCATGCCTCCTCGCCACGCTCCCCCCAGCACACGGATTCCACCCCAGCGGCACCGGCACCAGCACTGCAAAATCAAGGCCCCCTTGATGACGTCACATGTACCATCTTCTCACCTCTCTGGTGACGTCATTGAACCTAGAGAACTCCATGCCCAAATGAACCTCCAGCAGCAGCGGGTACGAGCACACACACAGCTCTTACGCCTCCTCGCCACGCTCCCCCCAGCACACGGATTCCACCCCAGCGGCACCGGCACCAGCACTGCAAAATCAAGGCCCCCTTGATGACGTCACATGTACCATCTTCTCACCTCTCTGGTGACGTCATCCAGCAGCAGCGGGTACGAGCACACACACAGCTCTTACGCCTCCTCGCCACGCTCCCCCCAGCACACGGATTCCACCCCAGCGGCACCGGCACCAGCACTGCAAAATCAAGGCCCCCTTGATGACGTCACATGTACCATCTTCTCACCTCTCTGGTGACGTCATCCAGCAGCAGCGGGTACGAGCACACACACAGCTCTTACGCCTCCTCGCCACGCTCCCCCCAGCACACGGATTCCACCCCAGCGGCACCGGCACCAGCACTGCAAAATCAAGGCCCCCTTGATGACGTCACATGTACCATCTTCTCACCTCTCTGGTGACGTCATTGAACCTAGAGAACTCCATGCCCAGATGAACCTCCAGCAGCAGCGGGTACGAGCACACACACAGCTTCTTATGCCTCCTCGCCACACTCCCCCCAGCACACGGCTTGCACCCCACCGGCACCGGCACCAGCGCTTGCGTCTCATTCTCTGGAACTGACGGATCCAGGTAGAAATACCCATCCCCCTCTTCCCCCGCTCCTCCGCCTTCCCCCCGTTTCCCCCCGTTTCCTCCACTCCCACCCGTCCCGTTCCCAACGTGCGTCCCGTTGGGGAAGGTTACAGGGGGGACAGGCGGAAGAGAGGGGGGCGCAGGCGGGGCAAGCGAACCTGGGGCGGTTGGAGGAGGTCTAGGAGAGGGAGAAGTGAGAGGAGGGGCGGGAGGGGAGGGGAGAGAAGCAGGGGCATCCGCCCCTCCATCCTCCCCCCCAGGGAAACCAGGCAGCACAGGGGACGGCGGGGGGACGGAAGGGGGAGGCGGGGGCGGGATGGGGGGCGGCGGAGGGGATGCGGAGGGGCCTGCGGGCGCGGGGGGAAGGGCGCCGTCGTAGAGGAATTGCTCAATATTGGAATAGGAGAGGGGGAGGTAGCCTGAGAAGGCGTTGCCTCGGATGTCAAGAAAGGAGAGCGAAGGGAGGGTGCCGAGGGCGGGGGGGAGGTTGCCTGACAGCTGGTTGAACGCCACCGCACTGATTTGCAGGGGAGGCGTGGGGAAGATGGGGGCGAACGGGGGGCATGGGAACAGATGGAGGCGAATGGGGGGAGAGAGGGGGGAAAAGGGGGGGAGGGAATGGGGGAAATGTGAGAGAGTTGGGAAAGATGGGGTCGATGCCGAGAGCTTGGATGCCGAAAGGGAGGGCCAGACGGGTAAGAGGAGCACAAGGATGAAGAGGCCAGGGACGGAAGGACGGAAGGGCGGAAGGATGGAAGGACATGACACAAGGAAGGGAGGGGCAAGAGGACAGATTTCAAACAAGGAAGTGAGGCAGTGTGCTTACAGGGAGGCATGGCAGTGTTCTTAACTGGAAGGAAGGGCGGTGTGCTTACAAGGAGGTGAGGGCGGTGTGCGTACAAGGAGTTGAGGGCGGTGTGCTTACAAGGAGGTGAGGGCGGTGTGCTTACAAGGAAGTGAGGGCGGTGTGCTTACAAGGAGGTGAGGAGCGGTGTGCATACAAGGAGGTGAGGGCGGTGTGCTTACAAGGAGGTGAGGGCGGTGTGCTTACAAGGAGGTGAGGGCGGTGTGCTTACAAGGACGTGAGGGCGGGGTGCTTACAAGGAGGTGAGGGCGGTGTGCATACAAGGAGGTGAGGGCGGTGTGCTTACAAGGAGGTGAGGGCGGTGTGCTTACAAGGAGGTGAGGGCGGTCGCGGAGCCTAAAGCATCTGGAAGCGCTCCTGTGAGGTTGTTGTACGACATGTCACTGTACACGTGGCGTCCAGGGGTTTGTGCATGGGTGGGGCACGTGGAGAGGAGTGAATGTACTGCGAAACACCAGCACATGGGGCACAATGGGGAAAGTCCACAGCAGTAGCACAATGCGGGAGAGGAGGACGTGGACTGTCAAAATAGAGCCGTTGATGAGCTCAGTTCGCTTCTGGAATTAGCAGGAACTGGTGAGTGTGTGGATGGTAGCGGTGATAGGGGTGGGTGGGTCGGTGGGTGGGTGGTGCGTGGTGGGGAGGAGGCAGTAATGGTGGTGGGTGGTGCGTGGTGCGGAGGGGTGAGTACAGGTCGGAGAGGTGAGGCAGGCGGGCAATGGCAGGGTCGATGTAGCCCGTGAGGGAGTTGTTGCTCAGGTCCCTGGGATCACACACACACACACACACACACACACACACACACACACACACACACACACACACACACACACACACACACATGGTGGTGGGGAGGGTGGTGAGGACGGGTGAGTTTAAGTTGGAAAGGTGGGGCAAGCGGGTGCTGGCAGGGTCGATGTAGCCTGTGAGGGAGTTGTTGCTCAGGTCCCTGGGATCACCCATACATGCACAGCATGTGGGGGAACAACTCAGAGGAATGACATGGCATGGCGTGGCATGGCGTGGCATGGCATGGCATGGCATGGCATGGCATGGCATGGCATGGCGCGTGGAAATGCACAGAAGCTCACAGTGCCTTGGGTGGCACGGCATGGCAAGTTACACTGAGTGCATGGCATGACATCACATGGCATACCAGGGCACAGCCCAGCACAACACAGCACAGCACCGCGCCACACCGCACAGCAAAGCAGAGCAGCTCACAGTGCGACGAGCGACGAGAGCTTGATCAGGCGCGGCAGGTCGCCCTCCAGCTCGCAGCTTGATAGGTCTCTGGTACATGAGAGAAAGGGGAGGGAAGGGGGGAGGCAAGGGGAGGGCATGGGGGGAGGGGGGGATGGGGGGATGTGGTGGTGAGGGGCGTTGATCAGGCGCGGCAGGTCGCACTCCAGCTCACAGCTCGACAAGACTCTGGCACACGAGAGAAAGGACTTTTGAGATGTCTCAAAAAACGCGGCAGGTTGCACTCCAGCTCGCAGCTCGATAGGTCTCTGGCACACGAGAGAAAGGGGAGGGAAGGGGGGAGGCAAGGGGAGGGCATGGGGGGAGGGGGGGATGGGGGCATGTGGTGGTGAGGGGCGTTGATCAGGCGCGGCAGGTCGCCCTCCAGCTCGCAGCTTGATAGGTCTCTGGCACATGAGAGAAAGGGGAGGGAAGGGGGGAGGCAAGGGGAGGGCATGGGGGGAGGGGGGATATGTGGTGGTGGTGAAGGGCGTTCAGCAGGCGCGATGGGTCGCCCTCCAGCTCGCAGCTCGACAGGTGTCTGGCACAGGGAGGGCCATGGTGAGAGGCATGGGGGGAGGGGGGGAGGGGGAGAGGGAAAGATGGGCAGGGAGTGGTGAGGGACAGGCTTGAGCAGGCGCGGCAGGTCGCCCTCCAGCTCGCAGCTCGACAGGTAGCTGCCACGTGGGGCAAGGTGGGCATGGGGAGGGGGGAGATCATGTGGAGCGCAGGGATAATGTGAAGTGGGGAGGGCAGAGGCATGGTTTAGGGGGAAGAGGGGGGGAGGGAGAGAGGGAGGGAGGGAGGGAGGGAGGGAGGGAGGGAGGGAGGGAGGGAGGGAGGGAGGGAGAGAGAGAGGGAGGGAGGGAGGGAGAGAGGGAGGGAGGGAGGGAGAGAGGGAGGGAGGGAGGGAGGGAGGGAGGGAGGGAGGTGGGGAGGTGCATCGCAAAAGAGAACAGGCAAGGGCGGGACCACTGGTGCTAGTGTCTTGCATGAGAAAGGCGACGAAGGCGGGAGAAAGGGGGAGAGAGGGGGGCGGGTGGGTGGAGTGCGCGCATACAGAGAGGAAAGCGCGGGGAGACGCGCAATTTCCGGCGGAATGGTGTTTTCCAGCGGGTTGTTGCTCAGGTCGCTGCGGATCAGGGGAGGGCAAGGAGGGAGGGAAAATGGGGGAGGGGAAATGGGGAGGGGGAACAAGAAAGGGTGATGGAGCGAGCAATGGGGAGCAACGGGGAGCAATGTGTGCAGTGGAGAGGGAGGAATGGGGAGCAGTGGGAGCGATAGGGAGCAACGGGGGGGTGCATAGCAATGGCTTACAGAGAGCAATGGCTTACAGGGTGCGATGGGGGGGGGGCATAGCACTGGCTTACAGGGTGCGCAGCCCTGTGAGCGCGGAGAGGTCGGCGGGGATGCCGCCCTTGATGGCGTTGCTGCGTACCACGCTGCGCGGGGGGATGCGCGGGAGGGGACACAAGCGGGGCGGGGGAAGGAAGGGACGAAGGGACGGTGGATTGGAGGGGGGCGGGAGAAGGTAAGGAAAGGGAGAGAGGGGGAAGGGAGGGAGGAGAGAGGGCAGGTAGGGGTCAGTAGCAGAGTGGATCGGGGAGGGGGGAGGGGAGGGCGGCGAGGGGACTGGAGTCCGGGCTGTAAGGCAATGCACGACATGGTGTGACATGAGGTGGCATGGCATGGCATGGCATGGCATGGCATGACGTAGCATGGCATGGCGTGGCATGGCATGGCATGGCATGGCGTAGCATGGCATGGCGTGGCATGGCATGGCATGGCACCTCAGGGCATGGAGGGCATCTTACAAGGATCGCAGTTTGCTGAGTGAGCTGACAGACCCCGAGATGTACCCGCTGATGTCGGAGTCATGCGGGCATGGCACCGGATGGCATGGGCATGGCAATGGATGGGATGCAGAGTGACTTACAAGGATCGCAGGTTGCTAAGCGCGCTGACGGACCCGGAGATGTACCCACTGATGTCCGAGTCAGATAGGTTGCTGCGAAGGAGGGACGGGAGGCGAATGGAAGGCAGGGAGCGATGGGAACGAGGGCGGTGAGAAGGTGAACCATTTGACTGATTTGTTTCTCCATTCTTGCTCGCTTCCCACCATTCTCTCACGCTACCCGCTCCTATCCGTGTTAAGCCGAGCAGCGGCGGCTGAGGCAGCAGCAGCAGCAGCAGCAGCAGCGGCGGCAGCATTAGCAGCCAGAGAGACGTACATTTCGATCACTCGTTGCGGGTCGGCCGACACGTCGCACGTGATGCCGTGCCACGGACTGCCCGCGTTCTCACTGCCGTCGCTGCCGCACGGATCGCCCCACGTCCACGTCTGCAGCGTCGCAGAACGATTGAAGCCGCTGTAGATGTCCCCCAAAGCATCAACTGTTGGGTGGACGTATGAGAGAGGGGATTTGGGAGAGAGGGGAGAGAAGGAGAAGGGAGGGGAGGTTATTATTCTGAAGGCTCGACAGTCACTGCAATTAACACCCCACGTCCACGTCTGCAGCGTCACAGAACGATTGAAGCCGCTGTAGATGTCCCCCAAAGCATCAACTGGCGGGAGGGCGGGAGGGCGGGAGGGTGAGAGAAATAGGTTGGGAAGGAGAGAGGGAGAGAAGGAGAGAGGTTGAGAGGGAGAGAGGGAGAGAGGGAGAGAAGGAGAGAGGGAGAGAGGGAGAGAGGGAGAGAGGGAAGGAGCGATTGAAGCCGTTGTAGATGTCCCCCAAAGCATCGACTGGCGGGTGAGCGGGAGGAGGAGAGAGAGGGAGAATGGTGGAGGGTAGAGGGAGAGGGGGAGAAGGTGAGAGGGGGAGGGAGGAGCAAGGGCGAATCATGGGAACGGGACGGGCAACCACCAGCAAACATTTGCAAGCGCCACCACCAGGTGTCCTTGGGCGTGCGAACACGAGCACCACGCGCAACCAACAGCAGTCGACTGGGCGAGTGAGCACACTCACCATCTTTCGCGGACGTCAGCGCAGCCGCGAACCTTATACTCGCGGCGACAGTAATCGCAGCGATTAGAACGGCGGCGTGGAATGGAATACATCGGCCATAAGGTGACACGATACGGAAGGGAGGGCGAGCTCGGGATGCGGTTCTCAAGGCGCCAGCGCCGCTCGAACGCGAAGTTCTCGAGGCCATTAGAGACAAATCGATGGAGTTATGTGAGGAATTTTCGGTGCTACAGCCGGTGTTGCCAACGCCTTCGAGGCGCACGGCGCTACAGGCGCGCTAAAGTCGTGCTATCAAAGGCGGCGTTGAGAGATACGTGCTGGTTAATATCCACCACGAGTGCTAGTGTGCGATACTTGCGGAAGACTTGCTAAATCTAAGAATTTGCATCGACTGCGTGTACTAGTATCGGACAGCTGCTGAAATTTCCTAAGATCTCAGAATGCGTATTGACCACGAGTAGTGTGCGAGACATTCTAGATCTCGCCGACGTGGCGGTAGCGACGACATGACCGAGTAGAGAACTGAAGACGAGGTGTCTCTTGCAATTCTAAATTCTCGAAAACTATCTTTCGTAGTCTAGAATCTCTATATCTTTCTCTCACGTGAAAAACGGACGTTGTTTCAAGATCGAGACGCCTCTTCGCGTGAATAGGGTGCGCGCGAACACACCGCAACCGAACTTGGTATGCCAGGTTACCGTCTGTGCCTTCAGTAGTGACTTCCGAATCGGATTTGTTTATTTACTAGATAACTAGGTGTGTACGAACATTCGCTTTCACCAACACGTCTCAGAGCAGCTACAGCGCTACCCAGCGGCGCTCCTATTCAGAGTACAGGCGATACAGCAATGGAGGGTCAAGCTAAGCGAGCCAACCTGCCAAGGTGGTGAGAAACATAATGCTTTGCTTGCAGTAGTGGCGTGTCCGGGTGACCGCTGACGTGTGGACTGACAGAGAAGGGTAGAGCAGAGGAGAGCAACAGTGGCGGCGTGTGTGACGCGCAAGTCCTAGCAGACGAGTCTAGAGCCCAGCCCGAATGCGGCGCTCAAATAAGTGGAGCCATAAGATTCGGCGAGGTTTCGTTTCGAAGGCCTCTGGCACGCGATGGTGGGTGGGTGGTGCTGGGAATGGCATGCGCGCTAACCCAGTTTGGGAAGTAGCGGTGATCATGACTTGCAGTTCGTGTATCAGAGTAAAATACTCGGTTGGTTGCGATCCACAACGGTAGCTCTTGAGTACCGTGTCGAAAATTGAAGAAACCCTTTTAACCGAACTGTAAGTATGGTTGATCAGCGACTTGTCCCTCGCGACAAGCATTGACTTCACGGAGGTGCACAGAATTGCAGACTGCTCATCGTTTTTGGCGCGAAAGAAGTGGGAACTCGAAAATTTCGCGCATCGAGCGGCTGCTGACGACTCGATTTCGCATAGTGATTGGCCGCATGTAGTCACCGTTGGAGCGCGGTGCGTCAGACCAATGCCCTCGTAAACCCCGATAGCAGTCAGACTGGACCAGAATCAAGGACAGAAAGCTTGCTGCAAAAGCAGACGGAAATACCGGTAAGTGCTCAACGCATTGTATTTCCACTTACGGTATAAGTGCTTCATAATTGGTTCACACCTGCTGAAAAGTTGGAACTTCACTTCAATTCACTGAACTATGCCACCACCTTAGTTTGTGTACGGAAATTCCCTTTTCCTTACTTCGCATCTCTGCTCAACGCGTACATCACTTTAGCACCTCAGTCAGCACCGTTACCACTCACAACCATCGCATCATTCATCATCCCGCCATTTTCGCACATCGCATCCCGACCTCACGGCTCGGCTGGTAACCCGCGCTCCGGGCCTACGCTTCGACACATTCCCAACCTCAGTCCCAGGCTCGTCGCGCCACCATTACCGTTACCACTGTAGTTTCGCTATATATTCTTCGCTCATACCTTCGCTCATTGTACTCTTGCTTCGATAGTGCAATTCTCGCTCGTTCACTCAATTGCACTCGTAACACTTGGTATTCAGAGCCTACGATCCCATCTCGGACCGCATCCACACCTTCACTTCCCCACTATCTCAATTTTTGGGGGGGGTAGACGTCTCTCAGCGATACAGCACCGCCGCTCGTAGTGCTCTCTCGCAAGCACGCACGGCCACGACTGAGGCTCTCGCTGAGCTTGCCCGACACCCCCGCCATGGCCGATTTCACGCTCGCCACATTGACGCAGGAGCAACTTGATCGTCTCGTGCGTCAACTGGAGGATTCGGCGCTTGAAATCGCGACCCTCACGGCGGAACGTGACTCCGCCCGTCAACAATCCACGATGAATGTACCGACGACATCCCACGCACCAACAAACGCATCTGCACGTTCGGATGAGCCGATCATCATCTCGTCCGGCACACCAACACAACACGACAGCACGGGACAACGCTCAGGCGCAGCCAGTGAGGGCGCCGCCCAGCCGATGCCTGGCATGGGAGGAAACAGGATCGCACCAAGCCCACGGGAGCCTCGAGAAGTCCGTCGGCACGTGGAATTTGCGGCGACAAGTGGCGAACAATCCAACATGGCACCAATGCCGCTCAAGCCGCAACGCCCGCCCTGCTTCGACCCAAGTCAACGCGGCGGTCCGACAGTTCAATCGTGGGTCTTCACGATGAACGTTTTCTTCGACGCCAATTACGTCGAGTCGGACGCCGCAAAGATCCGGTATGCGGTTTCACTGCTAAGAGGCCCCGCCATGGACTAGTGGCGAGTCATCGTGACGTCGCCACGCGCCTACGAGCCACCGTCGCACGAGGAAGGGCCCTCGGGTCCAGCTGTCACCTGGAGTTCGTTCTGCGAGACCGCCCAATACAGCACGTGGGATGCGTGGTGCGCAGGACTTCGGGCGCGTTTTGAGCCGATCGCGGCTTCAATTTCGGCGCGTCAGAAACTGCGCACTTGGCGCCAGCTCCGGTCAGTTCAAGACTATACCAGCGGTTTTCTCGCACTTTGCGAGCAGGTCGGCTACATGCACGAAGCGGAGCGGGTGGACCGTTACGTCGGAGGGCTGAAGCCGGACATCTCGCACGAGATAATGCTGCGCGGACTCTCTAACTTCAACGAGATTCTCGCGCTCGCCGAGAAGATCGACATTCTACGCCGACCGAGACCGGGGTCCTATTACGGACATCGTCCTCGGGGACCGACCGAGCACGCCACTGTACACGCCGTCGCAACGAATGCAGCTGCCGCACCGTTTAAGGGGCGCTGCTTTGCTTGCAACAGGCTGGGCCATCGCAAGAGCGAATGCCCAGAGGAGCTGAGGCGCCGAGGAGCATAGCAGGGGAGGGAGTCTCAGAGGCAGGGAAACGCCAGCAGTCAGTAGAAGTTGGGCCAACTACTGACGAGACTGCCTGCTCGCCCAACCACACCGATCCTCACCGAGTCACAGTACCGATTCATGCCATCGATCGGGCTCGGATGAATAAGGAGGGTACAGCGACGGATTGCCTGGTACTAATCTACGGGAAAATACAGGGAGCAGCAGTGAAGATTTTTATTGACGGAGGAGCAAGTCACAGCTTAGTTAATACCGCAACCGCACGGAAATTACAGTTAACACTTAACCGATGCTTACCTGAGATAGATGCACGCTTAGTCGACGGCACGCCACTAGCTATACGGGAAAAGGTGGAGAGGGTAAAGGTCCGCTGCGGAGGGAACTTCGGGTTTACACAGGAAATGCTCGCAACGACACTGGATGGGCACGACATTTTATTGGGACGTGATTGGCTGCGACGGTATAACCCACGAATTGACTGGACGACGGGTAGCTGCACAGTGCGAAGTAGTGGTAACTGGGTCGTCCTACCTCGCTGGCAGCCACCCGAGTCTTCGACGGTCCAGGTCAACGCCATCACGATGAAACGGGCTGTCGCTGCTGGAGCTGACGTGTACGCAGTGGATATCGCATTAGTGGAAAAAGAGGACCGGCCGAGTGATTTGCAGAAACTGTTGGCAGCCGTACCACCCGAACTACAGGCACTACTGAAACGGTTCTCGGGTATCTTTCCGGATGACTTACCGCAAGGGCTGCCACCTCAGCGGGCGCATGACCATAGGATCGAGTTAGAACCGGGGGCATAGCCAACTGTACAGCGCCAATTTCGACTGACACAGCCCGAGCTCGACGAGCTAAGGAAGCAGTTAGATTACCTGCTAGAGAAGCAGTTTATCCGACCGAGCTCGTCACCGTTCGCCGCACTGATACTGTTCACACCGAAAAAAGACGGGGGGTTTCGCATGTGCATCGACTACCGAGCGCTTAACAGAGTAACAGTGAAATCACGATACCCCATCCCCCGCGCCGACGAACTGATCGACCAGCTGCGAACCGCACGAGTATTTTCGAAAATAGACTTACGGGGAGGTTACCATCAAATTCGGGTCGAACCATCGGACTGCGCCAAGACAGCATTTAGGACTAGGTACGGGTCATTCGAGTACACGGTGATGCCTTTCGGGCTGACCAACGCGCCTGCAACATTTCAGATGACCATGAACGAGGCGTTTAGGCCACTTTTAGATAAATGCGTCATAGTTTACCTCGACGACATCCTCGTTTACAGTCGAGACCAGCAGCAGCACTTAGTAGATCTCGAAGCAGTTTTAAAAATTTTAGAGGCACATCGGTTACTCACCAAGGGCTCCAAGTGCGAGTATTTTTGGGACAGGCTAGAGTTTTTAGGTCACGTCATTTCGGAGGCTGGGGTTGAGATAGACCCTAAGAAGCTGGATACCGTAAAAGCGTGGCATCCCCCGACGAACATCACGGAACTACAGAGTTTTTTAGGGTTTGTTAATTACGTTCGTCGGTTCGTCCCCGACATGGCACGCTTAACAGCCCCGCTCACTGATTTACTGCGTAAGGGGGTCCCTTTTACGTGGGGGGAGAAAGAGCATGCTGCCTTCTCTGCTCTGAAAAATGTTCTCTGTTCACCACCCGTCCTACGCATCG